GTAATTGCAGACTCGGAAGTTCACTTTCCACATTTTCATGTTTGAAACTTCTGACAATTAAAAAGACAAAGTAGAACATTCTTTAGTTTGTGCTGGTGTTATTCTTCTTCTATCTGTATCAGAGGCATACAATTTATGTGCTCCATTTTGCCCCCTGATATCAGAGAGCACAAAGGACAGACTATTACAAAACATTGAAAAATATTCACTTCTAATCACATCCACGGGACAGATTGAAATAACAAACTGTTAAGAACACATGCATGCACGCAGTGTTTTACACCCAAGTTCAGCTGTGCTGAATCATCATAAAAATACTTTGATAAACCATTGCCAACTGGCTCTTGAGAACAGTTTGTTTTCTGCTGGGATGCTTCACAGGGATTGTGGCTTTCAGTTGGATCCACAGTCATTATTCAGATGTCTGCGGCCCAAGTACAAGTCAAACATTCAGCTTCAAAATGTCACTATACTGTATATCAAGTAATCTAGTGGTGCCTCCAACCTTTTTCCTTACCAGAATATTGTTGTCAGAGAGTTTTGTATTTTGTATGGATCTCTTTCATGTTACTTAAACAATCGTCTGGAAATTTGAGCCGGATGACCAAATGATGAAATGTTTGGGACTGAAAATGGAAAGGAAGAGTAGTTTTGATAAACCAAGCTTAGGAGACAAGAAAAAAAAACTGACGGTTGTCTCAGTCAAACCAAACCCAGACTTAACTCATGATGGTACACTGTAATGTCTTGTGCTCACAGACTGCTCAAGCTAAATATAAGAGTTTCCATATTGGAGCTGACATTGATGTCGAGGTTATTGTTTAACAAGCCACAAAGTCTGCCTAAGGAGGGAGGAATGGTCATTGGATGATGTGGTTTCAACTATGGAACTTTGTGTGATGTGAGCTTGAGACTGACATGTATTCTGTTTGTCAAAAGTTAGTGCTTTACGGAAACAGGTTTGTCACTTCCTGGTTGGGTTGAGAATAGCAAAACCTGACCATGGATGCTTTTGTACAGGTTGCCATAGATATATTTCAAATTCAATACCTTGTTGAAAAAACAAAAGAAAATCCTGGTTTCTTATCCGCAGTAGCATCACTTGATTTAGTTTTTTTAGATAGGTACTCTGCATATGTTCCAGTTAAATGTTTGCATCATTTCAAAAAGGCAGTTGCAGTGCTCGCAGGTGAATGAAAAAAAAAAAAACTTGTGAAGACCGACTAATCAAGCAACAGCTCCTGGAGTTTTTTCTGGGTGGTCCAGTGTGGTTTCACAGAAATGTCCACCACATGCCTACTGGTAATCCATGTGGGAGTGAGTGAGGTAAATAGCCAATTTATAAATGGAAATGAATGGCTCAGTACAAGTTGAATGAAGGAATAAGTCCATCTCACAGCGGTTCCTGTGCTGTTAACAAGCTCTCTCTGGTCAGCACCTGGAGGACACTGAGGACGCTGCAGAGGATGTTTTTGGAAAGAGGTTTGACTGGGAAAATAAACCCTGTGTCTGACCTCAAGCGCCAGTTGCACAGTCTCCTGACCTCACCATCTGACACGGTGTTTCTCCCCTCCAGCACATGGATCATGCCTGGGTGGCCATATTGGAACAAACATGTTGAGACAAGGAATTCTTTTTTGACTTTGTTTCAAATGGGAAACAAAAGATATGCCGAACATAAGCAATATTCTTAATACTTAAACACACTGACAAGACTCTCAGAAAAGCAGCACTGGTATTTCTGGCTTCCCCTTCAAGCTGAGAAACTTGCCCATGAATCTTTCTTGTGTATTTCTCTTGGTTAACTGTTGATTGAGTTCTTGAAATATGAGGCAAAACGCAGCAATATTGATTGGTTTTTGAGTGACGCCTCTGTGTGCTTTGAGAATGTTGCAGCTCTGTCTCACCCGGCTTCCCTCCATCCCCCAGCACCCTTGTTTTCTCCCCCCTCGAATCTGTATATGCATGTGTGATGGATCTGTAATGAGGCTTCTTTGATGTAGAGGAGATCTGGGGTAAGCAGAGGGCTTAAATGAATTGGAGGGAAGGAAGAGGAGGAAAGTGCATCACGATTGTGTTGAATAACGCCCATCCCCCCATCAGATTATGCTTGACCTTCCTTAAAATGAAAGCACCCATCTTAATTTTTTACAAATCTTCAAATTTATTCTGCGTCTCGTCTCCCATTTATTCCTTTGACTAACTTAAACCCTTTGCCTCACTTTGACTGAGAATTTGAGAATTCAGACATTTCCTGCTGCCAGCTACAAAGCCTGGGCCTATGTGAATTGATAGACGGGCGTCCTCAAAGGACAGAAAGAGAAAACACTTTGACTTTTGGTGCATTGTGAGGAGAAAAAAGTCGGGTGGTGTGGAGAGGGAAATGGGCCCACTTTCTGATTTGATGGATATTTCTGACGCAAACTGGTAAAAGGTGAATGTTTTTTCCCCCATCTCTATCTGCCTCTCTATCAAACAAAGGATTCAAGCCAAGGTTACAAAATAATTGTGGTGGGAGGAAATGAATGTTACCTTTATTTTCTACATGAGTTATTCATTACTTCTCTGGACACCTTGGGGGTGAGAAAGTTCGCCAAGCATTGTTGCAGAACGAGGCAGATTAATCGCTTGGTATTTAGCAACCCCAGAAAGTGAGAGAAGGAGAAGAACAGCATGGAGAAGGGGGCAGAGCAGGATAAATTATAACAGTGGTGTTAAGCGAAATGTGCTGAGGAGATTTTGAGGATTGGATGAGACGTTTTGTGATCGTTTCTTTGCTGGCTGAATGTGGACGCACAGGTGAGTCACACTTTTGTTTTTGAGGTGGTACTAGAACAGCATGATACATAACAAAGGCTAGAAAAGACATGAATATGAACCAAGATTTGATGTGGTCACCCATGAAAGCATTCTTTTATGACATGATGTCAAATGCAATATATTCTTGAATGCACACAGTAAAACTGAAACAACACTCAATGCCTAAAAATGGGTTTATTGCCATTTATGTCCCTTTTTTTCCATGTTCTGACTTCTGAAATCAGACATACCACAACTGTAATACAGACATGTTTGAATTTAGTGTCGACACACATATACAAGATTGTCATCCACCCTTATTGGAAGAGGTAATTAACCCCATTTCCATCGAGACATGCTAACCTAAACCCTAACTTTAACCTATATTTAACATGTTCAGCTCCAGGAGTGCTTCTGGGAAAATGACATGACTCATAAGTGTGTGGATTGGTTGTCATATTGAAACTGATATATTTTCTTTTAGTTTCATGGCAACAAAACAACATGTGAAAAGAAACAGACTGCTAAGAAGACACATTCACAAGTAACAGGTTGCTTGAATTGCAGATCTAACAAACTTTATTTCAAGAACTTTACTTTGTTCACTCAAATAAATAGCTGTGTGATGCATTATAGCACAAGTATTAACATTAAATAACTTTTCCTTTTAAGTTTAAAAGATTTATGAGAGAATTGCTCTCTGTCTGTAAAACAAAGTCATAATATTTCTTCGCATTGCAGACAGATTGATGTCCTAAAGAAACACACCCTTTCTTTCTGACACAACCCATCTTCCTGGGTAAAAAGCAAAAGTCATTTGTCTAATTCATGCATACGGATACTAATATGATATTTTTTATATTCATATTTCTCAAAACTATCCAAATAACATTTATTTTGAATATATATCTAATAAATGTATAATAAAATGCTTTGTTTCAAGGTGCAGTAATAAAAACATCAGCAAAGAACAAGATCACTTGCAGAGAACGTTTAGTTTCTCTTGTGGAAATGTGATAATTTTCCAGGAATCACAAATAGAAAGAGGAGTCTTATCTATGTAATGATAATAAAAATGGAGCTTGCAGAAGTGTAACAGCAAACTGCTGAACCAAATACACATCAGAAAAGTTCCCCACAAGGTACTTTTAGCTTAGGATGTAGTTTAAAAAAAAAGCCCAGAATAAATAAAGCATACTCAATTTCAGATTTCATTTTGTGAATGGCTAATTGTACAGACTAAGCATGAGTCATTTAAGCTTTGTGAAGTGGGATGTTTTGAGTTAAATTCTCCTGCATCTCATTTATAAAGTCCACTTTACTGCATCAGACATAAATGTCTCTTCTTTGAACTCGTTTTAAGAGACAGTCTGAAGTATGTGTCAGATAGAAATATTGGGACAGCACAACCATCTTCCATAAATGTCAGTTTTAAAATTAAATCCATTTTGCTGTGAGATTGCCACAGATCAGAAATGTGTGTATTTGCTCCAATGTAGACCAATATAATATTCTATTATTATATTGGTCTGCACCAACAATAGAATTTATAGGTCTTATATTGCTCTGCCACCATCCCAAATGACCCTCGAAATGTGGACGTTTTGCCTTTTTCAATGAGAAGCAACTTCTAGTTCATGTCCATTTGGTACAGCATGTTTATGCAAACAAGCTCAAAGAAACTAAGAAAAGTCTGTCTGTGATCACTGATCAGTAGATATAGTTTTCATTGCCAACAGTACTCATGAGAGTGTGCCTTTGCAACCTTGGATCAAATGTCCAACAGAAGAATGAATCAGTGTAAGTAATGAAGCAAGTTCCATTCCTTTTGTTCTGAATACCTGGATTCGAGTCTATTATCTTTCACTACCATATTATTGGTTGCTTTTAACCATCAAACTGTTAAATGAAGGTCAAAGTCTTAAACAAAAAATCTCTCAACAATTCCCATCTCCAACTTAAGTGACTGTGAAGAATTTAGGGTGAAACGTCGAGTGTTTTTGTTTAAGAAATGTTGGAAATTAGATTTAAGTTCGTAGTACCTCTCAGAAACAGAAACCGTGACGTCCAAATGATCATTTTGCAGATCATTTTCTTTTACTGCCCCACATGGTCATGTGTTCACTCTTTCTCCCTCAACAAGTCTCTTTAATTTGCTCAGCCAAAACACATGCGCGCACACACACCACGGCATAATTAGGATAAGCTCCATATTTTTTTACGAGTCAAATGAAAAACCAAGAGGGCCCCCTTTTCAAAGCTGTCAGACCGTTTGATGTTGAGGGCGCAGCCTCTTGCCATCGCTTCTGTGTGAGGCTGTCTTGAGCGTGGATGTGGGTCTTGTGGCGCTTCACCTCGAATTGTTCCCCCACTGAGTCGCATGTCAACAGTAACTTTTTTACGACTGGCCGTCCAAGTACCCGGAGATCTCAGTCACCAGCTCGTCTCGTAAGTATGGGTCACATAATTTATGGTACCTCCTTAAATGGATATAGATACATTTTTCATCTGTGGTATGGATATCAACCCATGAGTATGCTTCTGAGACAAAGCCAAAATAGATGACAAACATCAGTGCTGATGTAGTGTAATTGTTCCACCAGCGCTGTACCTTTTTAGAATTCTCTTTTATATATGGCAGCCAGTGCACTTTGCCCCTGGTTAACTGAAATTCTCCTTCTTCTTAAATGTAACAACCATATAAGCACCACCAAATGATTTTTCATTTATCTTCATCGTTGAAATTCTTTTTTATAATTGCTGCCTTTTTTCAAGTCAGAAGAAGGGGAAAAGATTTGGATCTGTTGTACGGTCTGGCACCACCCACGTGTATATACTTACTTTGACAACCCAAACCTAAACATTTCCTTGCATGAGCTGTAATCTAAACACAGAATGTGGCCAGCCACTGTAATTTACACAATCTATAGGTTAAAGGAACTCTTGATGTTACAAGGATTCTGGTGAGTCCTGTTTTCCTCCCTAAAGCATTTCCATGTGGAGTTTCTTCATGTATAGAGAGGAAATTAAATAAAAAATCTGCAACCTCTGATGATCATGATAGTAGTTAAAATGAAGGGGGTAAAACATTTTTAATTATGATGTATTACTGAGTTACAATCAGACACAGAAGCGTTAATATGAGTCTGAATTCCCTTTTGCTGCTTGTAGGGGTGAGACTTTACAGAGCAACATTATAAGCTGTATTTTTGGGTATGAAGTAACAACTTAAAGTTTAATACCATTACAGTTGGAGGACTTAAAGAGCTCTAAAGAGGTATGCATGTAACAGGAGGTTCGCTATTTTCAATACCAAATGTCAGGTATGAAAAACTGATGTCAAAGAGTTCCTCCAATATCCATGCTAAAACTTTAGACGTTTTATGAAATCCATGTCAATGATGCTTGTGTTACAAACAGAGAAACTAAACGCCACAGTGGTCCAATACAATCCTTTTTGCTTTTGGCAGGACAAACAAATGGAAACTGCAGCTGTTTACAGCAGCTGGAATTGGTCCTAAAAGCTTATAAAAATCATTCCCCATGAAGATGGAGTAGATATCTTTCTAATGTACTTCTTATGTTGGTAAATAGATAGGATGTGTAAGATAACACCCCCCGCCTCACGTCCATTCTGTTTCCGCCAATTTGTGTCTCGGTTGCGAAAAAACATGTCACCATCTGTTATACTATAAATATCACATATATTCAATGCCCACCAGAAGCCAGGTTAAGAAGGTCATTGTCACTGTATTAGCTGCTGAAAATGACATGTAAACCCTGTCATACTAAAGTGTAAAGTCACACATCGGTACTACTTTAACTGTTGGATTATTTGACAATTTTTAGAAGATGCTTTTTACATAAAAAAAGGGTTTTATAAATTTTTCTAATGCTGAAGCGATGCGTTTTATTGTTTGCAATTTGTTTTGGAAAGAAAACGATCCTTTTTTTAATTTTAGTTGCATTTATAACACATCACAGAAATGATGTACAGCATGTGAACGTAAGAGTAACGCAGCTTTACTTTAGACATGCATTGTTCCTTTCTAATGCACCGTAATGTAAACATATGCATTGAGGGTTTGTGATGGTGTTTTATGTTCTTTTTTGTGTTATTCTCCTTTGAGATTATATGTTTCCATTGGGAGCGGCTTGCCATAATCAGTCATCAAAAGCACCAAATCATCTTCTGTTGAGTGGGTGATCCATGCTGAGAACTAAAACAGCCACCAGGTGCTCACGCTTGTCATGCAAACTAATTTGACTGTCAGAACATAAGATAGACTTTCTCTCAGAGGCAAACACATAGCAAATGAGCAGTCATGCCCAAACAAGTTTTATGCTGTTACACATTGCCTCTGTGATATCCAGTTCATGTGGGAGGACCGCATCACGTGAGATTGCATCTATGATTTTATTGCAGTTTTGATTAAGTACATGTGACCAAATACAAACCCCCGTTGGCAAGGGCTGGGTGGTTGGAAGGCAGAGATCCTTCTTGATTGTAACAAGATTCAGCCCTTTGTGTTCACAAAGCAGAAACAGTTCATCAGGAATTTGAATCTTCTGGCCATGTGGAAGAAGGTTGGCCAAACTCACCCCATTTCACACATTAACTGTGTTTGTGTAAAGGAGAAGACATTTTCATTCGGCAGACGGGCTCCACTACCTCATGGAAGAAAAATGTTAACCCCGCTTTGCTTCCCGCAGAAAAAACAGCCAAAATGGCTTGGTGAGGGAAAATATTGGGGTCTTTTACATGCAAAGACTCGAAGGGGGGAAGTGGAAATATGACCTTTTTCCTGACAGAGTAAGCAGAGCACTTCAGAGAATAGTTTGGACTGTTTTCAATTTCTTCATTTGGAGTGTTTTTCCAGGGGATGGGGGGAAAGAAATGGAAAGAGACACAGTAATAATTTGTATCATGTAGGGTGCCAGCATAAATTTGGTGGTCTTTTTTTTTCTTTTTCTGTAGAGGGATGCCTGAAGACATTCACCACTTCAGAGAACCATCCCGACCTGTATCCTATATGGAGTTTGGGAACAAGAGAAGGTAGGAAGAACAAACCTGATGCAACTTTTCCAAACAATTAAATAGAACCTGAGCAATTAAAAAAAAAAATCAAAGTGAGAAGTCAAGTTCAGATGCCACACTTCACTGTGTGGTCTAAGCATTACCCACTCCTTCTCTGTCTCTCCCCTTGCTCTTCCTTCTTCTCTAACAGTCTCTCTCCCCTCTTTTGTGGCTGTTAGCCTATGAGCTGGCGTGGGCCCTTCCTTATTACACACCCCAGCGGGGCTTTATAAAGGCAGGGCTGGAGGTCTCAGCAGCCACATACACTCTGCCTTGTGCTTCAGTTTTTTGGTGTGGATTCTGCTCTGAAGGCAGGCTGTGTCATACTCTCCAACCCCAGGTTGAGTGGATTAAGGATGCTGACGGCAAATTGCAGGGTCCCCAGTCTCCAGGTTATTCTTGTGGTCCCCATTCTCATGACTATGGGTGTGGCTACCATGGACAACCAAGGTGAGTTTTCATTTCTTGTCTTTATTTCTTCTTGCCTTTGTTCTTTGGGGTATTAGAGTTACTATGTGGGGAGATAAATGGTCTGAATCAGGTAATCTCAATCTGGAAAGTGTTACAGTGTTTAAGCAGATTGTCTTTGGGAATTTGAATTGCATCAATGCATGATGAACTCAGGTGAGTGGGTGTAATGGAGAGTAAGTACAGATGAACAAAACTTTGTGTCAGTGTATTTTTGACTGTGTCAACCTATTTATGTAAACTGTGGGTAGGACTGTTTGTCTTTCCCTTGTTCTGCTGTTTTTTCTGAAGTAATGTCCCTTAAGCCTTTCCCCCTTAATGGTAAGCTTCTCAGTGAGCATGAATACACAGAATCCAATGTGTCTTAGCAGTTTCTGTCACTTTGGCACTTCTTGAATATGTAAGTTAAACAGTGGAGGAAAGGAAAAAAAGAAGAACTAAATGTGTCCAGCCAGTTTGAATTCAGGTGCCTTCATTCTTTGCCAGCAAAATCTGTCAGTACCCAACCACAGTGTCCACAAACCACTGTCACTTTCCATTTGTGCGTTGTCTTTGAGCAGTCCTTCACGAACTTGAGAGGGAACCAGCCTACTGGGATGCTCAGGCAAGGGAAACACTGGATGCTGCACTGAAACTTCGTCCTCGCGAGCACAGGGCAAAGAACATCATCTTGTTTCTTGGTGATGGTAGGTACAAGCTATTACTAAGGTATAGAATCCACCCAATATAAAAATGGATCAAGTGAGTATTATGAGTTTAATGTTGGGTTATGTGAAGAATTTAATCTTCAAATTTTATCAGAAGAACAGGAACATAATGCATTGACCAACATTGAACTTTTATCTTTATTTGCAAATACATTTAATTTAACTGATTGCACAACTTGTTGAAGGTTAAACGCAGCAGCTGTACGTTTTTTGCATGATGATAAATTAGCAATCCCCATTACATTTTTTTTTTTTGCAACTTTAACTGTGCTATTCAGATAAAATAATGGAAACGTATGAAATGAAACAAAATTAAACATACAAAAGGATTCTAAAATGAAAAATACAGATGGTAATACTGTAATTCCGTGTTTGAACTGAAAGCAGCAGCATTGTTCTGATCCTGAGATCACTCATTGATAGAGTATGGTGTCCTTTACAAGTAATGCATTAATTACTCATGGATGCTAAAAAAAGAGCATTTTATTAATCTAAATGAATAAAGATGAATTAATATTGAAACATAAATTAGTGTAATCTGTTCTTTAAGGATCCCAGTAATATTTTTTTAGTGTAAGAGTAACCATGTTCTGTGTAACTTCTATGTAAATAAAACTGCCAAATAAATAAAAAAGGCAAAAATGTTTTGTACATCTAGTGAAACTGCTTTACAAACAAATTGTGTGTTTTCTGCCTTACACATTTTTTGCACAGCAGTTTTACTAGATGTATTCTATTGTGTATTGTTTACACTCCTACCTCTTGCTAGCACTCCACCAGGTTGGCATTTTGCTGAATCTATTGGCACCCTGAAGTGCTGATTAGCTGTGGTGTGAGCACAGCCTGTAAACGGCATAGTAAAAGTCTTAGCAAAAACCATGTGCTTTTGTTCAAGCATTTACATCCCCCCTACATTTTGATAACTTATAAATTGAATACGTTTCTTGGTGCAGGGTACCTTAGTGCTGGGAGTTGTTGCATTGAGTAAGACAGAAAATATGTCTATCTCCTTCTGTGTCATATGGCAGTGCAGTGTCTGTAGGGGCATCTAAAAGCCAGAGGGAGACACTTTGCATCTGGATTAGATAAAAGTCCTGTTTGTGTGGTGTATTTACTGCAAGCGTTGCATTAAATGGATCTTTGTCATAGAAACCATTTAAAGACACAAAGATAAAAAGAATTGTTTTCCAGCATCCTACTGCAATATCTGTTTTAAATCAAACTTACTTGTTCACATTTCTGGGTGGTCGGGGCTAAGTTTTCTTTGTATGCCTCTCCTACCTTCCATGCCCAGAGTCTGTTCTCAGTTTTATGACTGTGATGTTTGTGTAAAAGCCAAGACAGCTGCTTTCTTCTGCTACAGCCTTCTTAAAGTCAGGGGCAAAGTCCAAAAGGATGAAACACGTCACTTAATTGTTTATGTCAAAGTCATCAAAGGCTGGTTTATTTAAACCTAGCTACGACTTCAGACATGTCCGATATTCAACAGATAGAATGTATATAGGGTGTATATTGTGTTTGAAATTCACAATTTGTTTAAGCCCTTGTTATTGAATAAAGATTAATCCCTCAATATGTAATTTGGGTTTGTCTGGCATGGAACATTTTGGATACTGAAAAACTTGGCACATAGACTCTGTCAACACTGTCAGATGTTTGAAAAAGTAAGTGGAACCATGTAATGGGCTTGACGGGTCTATCATTCACTGGCAGGAATGGGGGTGTCCACAGTGTCAGCAGCTCGAATCCTACGTGGTCAGATGGAGGGCGCGTCTGGCGAAGAAACAATGCTTGCCATGGACACATTTCCATATGTGGCCCTCTCTAAGGTGACGACACAGCACTGTGAATTAATACGTTTTTAGTCAAAACACCGATTTTGAAAATAATGTTTAAGAGAACGTGTGGAATTTCAAAAATGTAAAAGCTATTTATGGCTTATGGATTACTTCTACTTGTTCAGATCTGGTGAGGTTTTCATCCCAAGAGATAAAAACGTTTCAGTTGTTCCTGCATGAAAATTTCCTTCTAATTAGCAAGGAAAAAACATAAAGTTAACATGAGAGTTAACAGCAGCTCCAACTATCATGCAAACTTCCTGGGAAAAAGTCTCTGTGTGTGAAAAGCTGAATAGAAAATGGCATTAAAAGGCACATTGTGAGTACAGAAAATGTACTAAATTCCGTATTGTTTGCCAGATCGTTTTGAAAACTTGGTTAGGTACTCTTTTTCTTCCAAAATACACATTGCAAATTCTCTTATGGTGGTTGACTGTTTAAAGTAGAGTTAGGGATAAATAGACATAAATATGTTTAAGAGTGGAATTCTCCAACAGAAAAGGGCAGGTCAGTGGTTTCCATAACTGTTTATTTTTCTCATACTCTTCCTCAACATGTTGTATCATGTTTTATAATGGCACCCTGTAGCTCGAGTCCTTAAACTATTGTGAGAAAAGAGATTTAAGGGATTTTCTCAAAATCAACACTCGAGCTGAAAACGCTGACAGTGACTTTGAAACAGTGAACAGAGATTTTTAGGCTCATGCAAGATTCTCAGCAAACATAATCCCTAAATTATTGTGACCTGAGTGTGATTGAGAGGTTCGGTAAGTATGCAGTGTTTGGGGGTATTTCTCTCAACCTACTATCAAGGTGGTGTTTATACTTTTCTGGGAGCAATGTACAGTTTATCAAAATTTCCTGGAAACTAAATCTTGTGAATCTTTTATCAGAATTATCTGCCGCCTGAGTAAAAGGCATATTTTGCAGTGTTTGAATCATCCATTTGAACCGAGTGATTTTAGATTTTGGTGGTTTGATTTGCTAATTTGTTGTATTGCATCATATTTAACTTCACTGGGCAGCACATTGTGGTATGCTTCCATAATAGATAAATGAAATGATTTACAGGAGAGGGAGGGTATAAAAACTGAGGGTATCAAGATGGAATTAACTGTAGATGTACATTCTTCTTTGTGTCTCATCATGTTCATGCCACCTATCTGCAGACCTACAGTGTGGATAAACAGGTAGCAGACAGCGCCAGCACTGCTACTGCTTACCACTGCGGGGTGAAGGCCAACGCCAAGACAGTAGGACTCAGTGCTAATGCAGTGGCCTACGAATGTAATACCACCTTTGGCAATGAGGTCTTCTCAGTACTCCGACGGGCTAAAGCACAAGGTAAAGATAACGGCCGAGTGACCTAATGTGCTATGAAGATGACAAACATTTGCGATTATGAATTCTATCTCAAGATTAAAATGCTTTGTAAGTGTCAACAGATATGGCTCAGCGAAAAAAAAAAAGAAGATATCCTTTCTTTTGCTATTTTTGTTGTCACAGCTATATCCAAAATGCCTGTCCCAATGCATATAAATCTCAAATTGAAAGAGTACATTAGTGTCTATCACTATGTTTTAATTTGTGTGTGAATCTTGACTCACATAAATGTTTGCCTGGGCAGCATTCAGAGGTTGACCCAGAACTTTGTGATAAGTCGAAGTCAGTGGCACCAAACTAAGCTCTCTTAGCCTGTGTTCATTTGATCTCAACAGCCGTGGTTTGAGCGTGTCTTTGTGGTGTCCAGGTAAATCAGTAGGTATAGTGACGACCACCCGAGTCCAGCACGCCTCCCCGGCTGCTGCCTACGCCCACTCTGTCAGCCGCAGTTGGTACAGCGATGCAGATCTTCCCGCCGATGCCCACGAACAGGGCTGCGTGGATATTGCCACCCAGATGGTCACCAACGTTGATATTGATGTAAGAAAGCAAAATACTGTCTGGCCCTGTTTTTTCTTAGAAATTATCATTTGTATTGTCCATGTCATAAAAAAAGTTCTTAATGTATATTCTTATATGACTGTTTCGTAATGATAAAGGTTGCATTACAATTTAACAGTGCCTACATCATAAAACTATTATAAAATGACTTGTGAAACTGGTCCATCTTCAGTTATATCATTTTTGTCCTTTCTTATCTTAATTGTTTTAAATGTCTGCCAGGGAGTCAAGCTCATTAAGGACCTGTGAGAAAGCTTCATTTTTGTACATGTGGTCGCTAACCTGTGACTTAACATATCTTTTTAATTTAATATTTTCTTTTGATTGCCAAAAATCCCTTTCATTCAATGAAAAATGGATGAACATTTTAATCAGTGTATCTGATATGGATATAATTAACTCACATCCAATTATTTAGCATAAAGTGAATTAATTCTGTTGCAGAGATTGATTGCTATTGACTTCATGATCATCTGAGCATTAGCTTTTTCATTAGACGACTCGGAGACATATGTTAAAAGCGCAGAAACAGACCAGTACTGTTCAAAATTATTACATTCTGTTTGGTTTCTTTTTTTTAGGTGATTTTGGGGGGCGGCAGGATGTACATGACACCTAAAGGTACTCCAGACCCAGAGTATCCTACCTCGAACTCTCGCAAGGGGGACCGCAAAGACAAGAGAAACCTTATTGATGTGTGGTTAAAGGCCAAGCCGGTATTACTATTACTATTACTATTATTGAACAGCTTTTAATCTTATACTAAGTTCTTCTTCGATGCTGTCAACAGTCAAGAAACAGTATGTTCATTTGTCATTTGGTTTGTGTTTCAGAGCAAGAAATCATACTATGTTTGGCACAGGAAGGACTTTGACGAAATTAATGTCAAAACTACTGATCGTCTTATGGGTTGGTATTTATTTTTATTCAATTTTCTGTTCGTTTTGGGGGGCTTTCTTACAAGATGTGGTCGTTCTGATACATCTAGGCTGCCATTTCTGGTGCTTCACATATAAGTTAGGGCATTGTCTAAATGTTATCTTGGTAATAAAAACTACTCAGAGGTTTCAATCTTGAGTAGTTTGATATCCAATCTTTACAACTAAATGAAATAGTCCTAATAGTATCTTAAATTTACTGCATACCGGAATTATCAGCCCCATTGCACAGTGATAAAATCCCATAGGTGTTTTCCTTGTTGTGATGTTTATTACTGTCATACAGATAGCTGCAAACAGCACAGTCATATAAACCTGCTATCATCCTGTCCACAGATACATATATCTTCCGTGATCCAACTCTTGAAGTTGGCTTCTGGTCTTCTAGCTTTTCAGTTTAGGACCTCTTAGTGTGCTGTTCTGATCCTGCAAACGTAGCTCATGATTTGCAAAAATTCCCTGAAGATTCTGCAACTACAGCGTTTTTTCAAGACATGATAATTTACTTCCATGCTCTTGGTGGTTTTAGGTCTTTTCGAGCCCAAGGACATGAGATTTGAGGTGTTCCGGAATAATACCCGCGATCCATCTATTGTGGAGATGACTGAAAAGGCCATTCAAATCCTCAGAAAGAACCCGAAGGGATACTTCTTGTTTGTGGAAGATAAGTACAAAATAATAACAACAACAATGATGATAACAATATTATTTTTTTACCAGGTTTGAATCATAACTATTGCTCATTAGAAATGATCTTTTTGGCCTCGTCTAAACGTGTTTCCTGTTTTATTTGTTACGTGGGAGAATTGATCATGGACATCATGATGGCATTGCCAAACTGGCACTGACAGAAACTGTGATGTTTGATCGGGCCATTCAGCGTGCCGCAGAGCTCACCAGAGAAACTGACACGCTGACTGTCGTCACCGCTGACCACTCTCATGTCTTTACGTTTGGAGGCAACACGCCACGAGGAAATCCCATTTTTGGTATGACTCAAAACACTTTAACAAGGCCCATATTAAAACGTTACATGACAGCATCGAACACTGAGGTGATAGTAGACAAACAAAACCGATTTGGATGGATAACGATAGGAACATTTAAAGAACGAGACTTGACATTTTAATTTTCAGTCGTGATAAGGCTGCAGCTGTTTTGCAGTCACATGATATTGAATGACTTAGGCTGTTTAGGTCAAAGTCAAACAAATAGTTTTTTTTACTTTGTGAGTAGTGTCTTTTTTGTTGTCTTTAAGTAAGAATACTGCACATGTACACAATAACTCATGCTCTCCCACCATCCTTCAGGTCTTGCACCAAAGAAAGCTGATGATAAAATGCCTTTTACCAGCATCCTCTATGCCAATGGCCCTGGTTATGTACATGTAAATGGAACCAGAGGAAACATCACATTAGTGGATTATTGTAAGTACAAACTAATATCTTTCAGATGCAGCCTCAAAAATTTTTGGGTAACCTGACTACACACATCTCAAGCAGGTGTGGTTATGGCTGACTCATTCACGTGTTTTTTTCTGAAAACCAAGGATATATCATTAATATGTCATGGATGGTGGTCATATCTTACACTGTTCATATGATTGTAGTTTTAAAATGCAATTTAATTTCTGTGTAGCTGTAATGATGCATCTCTGCTTGTTCTGCACCATTCACATTAATCGTTGTATGATTATGTGTATTCTGAGAGGGAAATACCTTCAGCCTGGAAATATTTCATGATTTAACTGTGGGAAACAACTCTCAATTTAGTCTTTTTCAATAGACTAATAATTTTTTGAACCAGTAAATCTGTCGTAAAATCGTACACTCAATATATCTGGTCATCTTGAAAAATATATTTTTAAAATGTGGCCATCTGGATAAGAATAAACCACTGAAAATGTCGAACTACATACCCTGATGAAAGATTGTAGATAAAAGCTCTGTTGCAACACTAGAAAACTATAGGGAAAAAATGTAGTTTTGCCAACTAAGTTTTGCAACAATGCGAAAGCATTATGGAAAATAACCTTTTATCCGGGACACGCCATATTTTTATCATAATCATTTCCAAAACACTGTTATCTCACTTTCTACAGCATTTGTTTGTTTCATGTGAAGTCTGGATTAGTTTCCATAATATTCATCAAAAGGACTTACAGTAAATTGCCTTCTAGGTTGTTTAAAAAGCTCTAATGACGTTTGATTAAGTAAATTACAGAAGATTTGCAAAGCACCATTGTTTGAGCCAAACAGCAATAAAAGTCATCCATGAGTTAAATGCAATCAAGGTCCAAATCCTATCTCTTGTATTGGCAACAATAGAAAGTATTAAATGCTAGGCTGACAAAGACATGGATCGGCTCTGTATTATGGAGATCTGAATCATTCAATCTTCTCACGGCTCACTTTTGAGTACCATTTAGCTTTAGTTCATCGTTTAGGAATCCACTAGCATGCTTGCTGCTCTCCCCTGCAGGAAAGACGTTACCTCAAACAACCCTCATTTGAAAAAGAGACTGAAACATACGTTTTAAACCAATTCTGTTTTTCTCTAGACGACGAGGAATACATGCAGCAGTCTGCTGTCCCATTGGATGCTGAGACACACGGAGGAGAAGATGTTGCCATCTACGCTAAAGGCCCAATGGCTCACCTTTTTCACGGGGTGAAAGAGCAAAACTATGTGGCGCACGTGATGGCCTACGCTGCCTGTTTGGAGCCCTACACGGACTGCCCCCCTCACACTCATCCCCACCCTCGCAGGTTTTCCTCAGCTGGGTGTGTGAGCATACATTTGGGCCTCCAGTTTGGCATGCTTCTCCTACTCTGGACATTGTTCAGATGACCCCGAAACATACAGACGTAAACATACATTTTCACGGCTAATTTTGTATGTAGCAGAACAAACTATGCACTAAGCTCTCACACAACACCTGTGTGCTGACTGGCCAATCCGAATGCAAGGAGAAACACCAATGGTACTGTACTCGTTTTATGTAAAATAGCACGCACCATTCGTAACCTATCTGCACACTTATGCTCTCTCTCACACACAAACACACATACAGTATGTATGCGTTAACTTCTATCAGGTGCATTCTTGCAGAGAAAAGAAAGCGTTGTTCTGGTGCTTGTTATTCATAGAGGGCACACCTTGAAACTGCTTCTATTCCAAATTCATTGACACTTCCAGAGTTTCACTGAAACACTTCACAGTTTCAATGTGAATTACATCTTGCACTAACAGGTCATTTCAACATTTTGCAAGTGATTTTCTTTTTTTTTTAAAGCATGTTATATACAACCCCCTGCTCTCCTAAAGATGTCAAACATTTGCTTGCACTGTCAATTTACAGAGTAAACGTTAACCTAGTTTTGCCTAGAATAACTTCAGACAAACAGTCAAGCTTTTTGACACACTGACAGAACATTCCAGGTAAGGCAGTTGTCACTATACTCAAAGAAGACACATACTCTTGAATGGAAACAGAAACCTGAACAATCAACTGTCACATTTCACCAAGCTGTAATATCAAAAGACTTATCATGAGATATTTGATTTAGTCTCTTTTTTATCAACTGTGTATTATGAAATGAGTAGTCTCTAATATTTTTGTAGTCTTACATGTCATTATGAACTTTTACATAACATGAGATAAAATCTGCTTGAATTGTAAAAGAATGTATTTTGTAAGCAAAGTGTTCATGTATTTTTCATACAGTTTTCTGGAAATGTATAAAAGCATAAAACATCTGAGTGAGTCCTGGTTTAGATGTAATGTATATATATATATATATAACCTATGTATAGAGTCTGGCCGGTTTTGAATATTAAAACTAATAAACCACACTAAAACTAAAGGAAGTGAAATGAAAAAAAAGAGAGGGAAGTCCAGATGGTTAAGATGAGATCAGGGAAGGCTTGACAGGGCACTTAAAAACAACAGGAACTACTATAACTTACAGTTTTGAAATCCTGCTGATGAAAGCAAGGAACAAACTATTTCAGTAAAAAAAACTGTGAATTAAAGAAACAATACCTGAGCGAGGTAAATTATAAATGCATCCTGATAGTCTCGAATAACATGGAATTGTGTTTTTATTGTTATGCGCCATGATATTGTAATTCATCATAGCATTACAATAATGTTCACAAATCGCAGTTGACACTTCCCAAAGTGCCCTGAATTACATGATGTAAATTCTTATGCTGACCAAGAAATTATTACTACAAAGATATATAAAAAAAAAAGATAATACATTAATCAGATCACATTTAAGATAAATGATTGATAACTTCATGCCAACTTTTTGCGTCACTTATCGGTTAATTTCACCACCACGTACATAGTTTTATTTTACTTTATGTATCGGGTCTGTTAAAAAAGAAGTGTATCAATGTTAAAATGTGGGTAAAATCTAGACATAAAGACATTTGAATAATAAGTAACAAAGCAAAATTTTGTAAGCACATGATTTAATGCACAAATACATTTTATGTTGTAAAACTTAGTGATTATATGGATGTTTTGTAAGAGCAAGTTTACTGCCTCATCTCCTTTGTGTGTGTGTTGTAAATAATCTGGTGGTCACATTTCAAGGCTTCTCCAAGTGCTCTTTGCTCCTTGGCTGTTATAAAGGGACCTCACTGAGTGAAGACGGACAGTTTTGTAAAATCACATGTAGCCAACACAATGGAAAAAACACATAACATCCTTTGTACCGGATTATTGTTGATGATCATCTTAGTGCAGCTGACTTCATGCATTTCAGGTAAGGATTTGTTACATATTGATAAAATATCTGACAAAAATATAGATATTGCTTTCAGTTGAAACTGTGAATCCAAGAACAGTGCTTAAAGTTACTTTGTACACATATGGGAATGAAGATATTGCCCATCTATATTCTAATGACGTTTATCAGAATTTATTTTTATTTTTTCAACGCTGAGGAAGAATGGACTTGAAGCATTCGTGGTACTTTAAATTAAAAAGCAACAAAGGAATGTGTTAAAAACCATGTTGCATTCATGACTAATGTTGCAGTTTAAAGTGTCTCAGATATACAATATGAGTTACATCTGGTTGTGAATGTCACTAACACTTTTTTTTTTTCTTGCTTGTAGAAGAAGAACTCCATGCAGATTACTGGAACAATAAAGCCAGGCAGGCTCTTCACATGGCCATGAATAATCAGCGAAATGTGAACCAAGCAAAGAACCTCATCCTCTTCCTTGGTGATGGTGAGCCTTTCCTTCCACTGAAGCGTTTTCTTTGAATTGTCAAGTTTTTCTCACTCTCCCTGTCTCTGTTCATTGGCTCAGGTGAAACGATGTCACCAGAGCTTGAGAATGTAAGACTTGTGAAGTGTTATTCACCATAAGAAAAGGAGCTGCAGTTTAACCTGAATGCATGTTTGACCCCCAAAATGTTGAGCTTTTGGGGCAGCCAAATGTGAGGAATAGAACTGAGGAGCAAGAATGGTCTGCACTGCATCTGACACCAGTTAATAAGTGTTTACTCAGTGTTTACGTTTTTGTTTTAAAGTCGTTTGAATATATATTTAATGGGAAAGCATACAGTGCTCCACCTGTGTTACATTTTATTGTAAAAAGAAACCTTTGACATAGTAAGAGGTCATCAAGGCCTTAATGTCAGTTAATATAATTTTATAGAACAAATGTGACTTTGTTCTCATTTGGCCAATCCCCAGCACAAATTTTGAAATAGAAGAATTTTGTTTCGAGAAGCATGGTTACGGCTATATCTACTTCCTCAAACAAACACGCTGATTACAGCACATGACAGACTTTATCAGTGATTGAGATTGATCAGTAACATTTGATTACCCCCTTAGAGTCAGATAAAGTTTTTTTTTTTTTAAATGACCTGATGGAGATGTGATCTGTACCTGGAATTGAATAGCCCCAGCCCTTTTACTTAAAAGATAAACATTCCATCGATTTTCAGCACGTGTATTTCAGTATAATGAGATCTTTATTTGCCTTAGTACAATTTCTGAAAATGAATGTCAAAATCGGAGATGTATGAATATGGATGATATTGTCTACCCAGGTGTGTTTCCACTTTCTTTCAGGTATGGGTATAACCACAGTGACTGCTGCTCGAATTCTCAAAGGCCAGTTAGCTGGACAGTCTGGAGAGGAGAGCAGTTTGGTCATGGATACTTTTCCTCATGTTGCTCTCTCAAAGGTCAGTCCACTGAAACATTCAGAAAATTTGGTGTAGTCAATTATTAAACAACTGTACACATGCTGAATAGGTAATTACAGAAGGGGAAGAAAAGAAAATTATTGACGAGTGATAAGAAGAAAGAAAATATATACCCATGTTCCCCTTGAAACATTTACAGGGAACATATCAATCTCTCCATATGACCATGAATTTGAAACTCAACTAATCGTGCATCACTTTTACATCTACAAGAATCATAACCATCAGCTTTTTTATTGATATGCTAGATATTAACATTAATTGTTTTACTATGATTCATGCCAGAAAAACAAAAACAAATTCCATTGATATGAAATATAAAGACAATACATTTAAGTATAATTCTGTCAGTTGTCTAATGTCTATCATATTTGTTCATCATATATTTGAAAAGACTGAAACCTGTTTGCCCCTATTTAATTAATATATAGGTGCTAGTGGGCCCTTACCCTTTAAAGAGACTACAGTGTTGACTGTGTTCATTGATGTGTGATTTAAAAGAATATGAAAAAATGTTGAGGGTCACAATCAAGGGATGCCGACACAGACTCCAGACAAAGTTAATAAGTCTGCTCTTTCAGTATCTTATTGGGCTCATGTTCAAGAATAACTTATCTAAATGTTGTTCACTGTGCACCACCTTGTAGATAAAGCATCTGTTTATACAGATTTACAACACCGTCGCTCTGTCCAACACTGTCGGTGCTTCAAACAGTACTCATCTTATTGGAAAGCTAATACGTCATAATACTATCAGCTCCTATGAACAGCAGGCTACCCCTAATTTCCTAGTTAAAAATCATATCCAACTCAAATCAATACTTACCTTTTTCTTAGGTCAGCTTGTAACACAGCGATGGATTTGACAAAGTGTCTCATACATATCTGTTATAGCTCAGAATAAGCAATTGTTAATCAAATAGAAGAATTGTTGGGAGGTATACCCAGCTTAAGTTCAAGTACAAATGAGAAAGAAACAAAGTTTGTTCCATTTGCCAAAATTCCAAAAGACCTTAAACTTCCACGGCCAGTTCGAAAGTTTAATAAGTTACATATTAACGTATTACTATCTAAAAAATGAAGCCACTAATTCTGGAGAAAGAGTGCAGAGTCACCACAAACATGATCTCCCACTGCTGCTGGTCTGCAAGTGGTGTTTCATGAAATCCTCTGAGCAACTTTATCTGAATCATTTACAGAGTCAGGGCTTGATGCAAAAGCTAGGGTTTTTTTTTTTTTTACAAGAAATGCAGAGACTGTTCAGTTACACACTAGATATGATAACAAATACATCTGAACAACCTTTGCTCCGTTATCACCTGATGTAACATTACAACAATACAACTTCCATAGTAAGCAGACTGCTTTAGTTTTTATTGAAATAAAAGAGATACACTCAAAATTTTGGTAAGGGTTGAGGGAACATTGTGTGAGTCATCATGAACAAGAAATACCATACTTAAAATGATATGGCTTGATATCAATGCATTCGAGTATATCTGGTTCCTGCAGACATACAACGTGAACCAGCAGATGCCCGACAGTGCTGGAACAGCCACAGCATACTTATGTGGAGTGAAAGCAAACTATGGGACTGTGGGCGTCACTGCGTCCACCCCGAGGACCAACTGTAGCGCCACCTATGGAAATGAAGTGGAATCTATTCTACACCGTGCCAAGAAAGCAGGTTGGTCAATACTTTCACAAACCTTTTAAAAAACATCTGGAGCCCAAAGATTTAGATTGCGATTGAGTATCCAAAGTTAAAAGACTGTTTGGAAATCTTTACGCTCCTTATACCACATATATTTAATAAGATCACTTAAATATAAATAGAATTATTCAAGTTTTATCAATGTGATGAAAGCATATCTTAAAAAAAAGTATATCTGGCATACCAAGTCATGTCACTCAAAAATGTTGAATTTTGTTAGCCTCAAAGAATTAGAAAGCTTTCAATATCTGTAGAATAAATAATCATGATTCATATGAATTTGGACTTTTATCTTTTAGGGAAATCAGTTGGAATTGTCACAACAACCAGAGTTCAGCATGCGTCGCCTTCTGCAAGTTATGCTCACTCAGCTGACAGAAGCTGGTACTCTGACTCTGATCTAACCCCTGAAGCTATCCAAAACGGCTGCCGTGACATTGCTTACCAACTCATCCACAACACAGAGATCGATGTAAGTCTGGAAAAGTCATTATCACTGCATGTTTTATGAGACTAAACTGCATAGCTTGTTCATTAACTTGGGTAATATAAATGTCCCAATGTCAAACGTGGATCTCTAAACCATTTTAGTCTAAATCAAAGTGAGGATATCAGAGGAAGAATGGTAAAAGGAAAGTGTAACTGCTAAAATACATAAGTTTGCAACAAAGAAAATCTTATGTCTTCACATTTAGGTTATTCTTGGTGGAGGTCGTCAGTATATGTTTCCCAAAGCCATGCAAGACACTGAGTATCCAAAGGAGAACGGAACTAGGGATGATGGAAAAAATCTCATTGTGGAGTGGGCAAAGAACAAAACGGTAATTTAAAAAAAGCATATTATCAGATTTAAAAATGATATGCCTGCTGCTTATCTACCTGCACCATTGCATACTAGTTCTCACTAACTCTGCCCATTTGTTTTTGTTTTTTCATGGTTGACAGAGAGCTAAATATGTTTGGAACAAAGCTGATTTTGATGCTGTCAATCCGCAACGGACAGACTTCCTTCTGGGTATGAACAGTTTAGTTAAAAGATAACAACAAGATACTGTCCAGTGCAAACTAGAAGATCTGCAAATTGACTTTCCACGCAGGCCTGTTTGAACCAAAGGACTGCCGTTATGAGCTGGAACGTAATCCCGCCACAGATCCTTCACTTACAGAGATGACAGAGAAAGCTATTCAAATTCTCAGAAAGAACCCCAATGGATTTTTCCTCTTTGTGGAAGATAAGTATATCTTTTGGCTTTTTTATTTCTTTTTTTGTTGACAAACTGATGGATGTTTTTCAGTTACTACGAGGTGAGTTGGAAAACACAATCACAACACTACCTAAACTTTATTCACAAAAAGCACATGCATATCTCCACTAGATTTATATATACATGTTTTTTTCATCCAGGTCATGTTTAGAGAGTAGGAAATGCCTTGTTTTTTTTTTCAGGACTTTGCTGCTCAGTCCATTGTTTATTTGATGCAGGATACCAAATATCAAACTAATTTATAACTGATGGTACACGTATGGCATAACAAGATAGCATTCACTACTCAGATAATTGTTGGGGACTTCTCAATTAAAAGCATTTTTTACCCAAAAATATCACATTTTTATGGTTGACATTTGCTGAACTTCATTTGATTAAATGTTTCAGATTAATTATGTTACAAACTTTTTTGATTTTCAATAGCATGCTGCATGTAAAATGTGTGAAAGTAGCTTATTTTTCTCTAATCCTGAAAAGACATGCAACAACATACAGGAATGTAGTTAAACTGGAGAATGATTCATGTTTATGATGAATAAAAATAAATGTGTCTATTTAAATGAGATAAAACTGACCTCTCCGTATGCCACTAAGACAAAATGAAATTCCAATTAGTCAATTTCAGGTTCTTTATTACTGATCCTGAATTACACACAAGCTTAACTACTCTAAAAGTACTTGTGATGCTTATTTGTCTGTACCCTTTTTTTAATTTTAAGCGGGAGAATTGACCATGGCCACCATGCTGGCCAAGCAAAAAAGGCCCTGTATGAAGCTGTGGAGTTTGACCGGGCAATTGGACGAGCAGCCGAACTCACAAGTGAAATGGACACTCTATCTGTTGTCACTGCTGACCACTCCCATGTGTTTGCTTTCGGAGGATATTCTGCAAGAGGAAACCCTGTTCTAGGTAAAATGCACTTTTAAAAAATGATAAACAACTGAATGCACAAAGCCAATCTTAGTTTTATGGCACATGTTTGCCTTTTGATTTACAGGGGTGTCAAGATCATTGGCAAACGATAGTAAGCATTTTACCACTGCTGTGTATGGCAATGGACCAGGATATCAGCTGCAGACTGGGACTCGCCCAGATGTGAATGAGTCCCTTTCATGTAAGTATATACTGGTGGTCTTTATCAAGGAGCCTAAGTTATACATTAGCTCCATCTAATGGTGTATGAAAACAGCTACAGAACAAGTATAAATAAGAAGTACAGTAAATCTATCAATGGAGTGTGTAGAGAGAGAACCCCGTGCCCGTCCAAGATGGATGAATATATAAATCTTTGTTAAAGAAGCTAAAAGTGTTGCTGTGGCAACAAATCCTAACACTGAAATCCAAATTACAGAGCAGAGTGTGAAAGGAACATGACTTAATTTGGCATGCTGAATAAAATAGACTGACAACAAAAATCACTGTACTACTAAAAAAGTTTTTAAGCATTTTTTAAACATCAGTTCAAACACACCCTTGTTTTTATTTATGAACTTGACTTAGGCAGACATATTGTGTGGTTCAGAGTGATTTGTATGAAGCCTTTGAAAACACTGACTAACATTTTTTTTGTTTCCTCACACCCACTGTGTGTTAACTGCGAATTTTCTATATGTATATGTCCCATAAAGTATGATACAACTATATTAATGACACTTTTTCTCATTTTCTGTCAGCAAGCTCTGGCTACCTCCAGCAGGCTCCTGTACCTCTAGAGTCAGAGACCCATGGAATAGAAGATGTGGCCATCTTTGCAAAAGGTCCAATGTCACACCTTTTTCATGGTGTTCAGGAACAGAGCTACATTCCTCACGTCATGGCATACGCTGCCTGCATAGAGCCCTACACAGAATGCAAACTCCCCCCTCCAAACTCTGCTGTAACATTTTACCCCAGCCTACTGCTCCTTTCAATGGCCCTCTTCCTTACCCTCTACTATAGCTGAGATGTCTGTCCCAGGATGATTAATACTTATTCTGTAAAAAAGACTGTGATATGTTTAATTTGTTTAGAAAATTCATTATTATTTAACATTGTGCTGTATGGAAATCAGTATTGTATATTAACACAACTTCTACATCAGTACAATGTTGATGTTAATGTTTGCATATTCAATAAACAATGTAAGGTAAAGCATTAGTATTATTTCTATATGAAGCCTTGACTTTCAACACTATGTTAATCATATCTATTTCAAACTGGTTATGATTCATTTATTAAAATATTTTGAATAAACTATTGCCCCCAAGTATGGGCTCACTTTAACCAAAATGTGTCCAGCTTCTTTATCTGTTGCAATATTTTGTCTTCCACTGTGTACTGTCAGCACAATGACAAATTTTAAATAATCTGAATAACAAACTTGGCAGTTACTTATCATTGATTAATAAACACAATATCATATGTATTAATGGATTTTATGCGGAATGTGCTTGACTTTTGCAATAATCCTGTGAAATTGATAAAGACTTGAAGCGATTTAAAACTAGGTGTTCTAAGTAAAACGCAAATGCTATGATACACCAATTACAATGACAAAGAAATTAGTTTTATCATAGTATCATCTGATTGGTGAAACTTTTGTCCAATCACAGAGTCATCTGGGCGGGACATCCGCTCTCTCCTTGGAGGGAAATTTAACCAAAACAGATACGTATTTCTTTTTACCGAATCTGTGGATTACGTTTTATTTTGTTTATGTTTGTCAAATATTTAACCTTTTATAATGTGAGGGGCCAGATAATTGATCATAGAAATTTGTTGCGGGCTACTTTTCCTTAAAAACGTAATGAAATCATTGTTAGCGATGGATAGTCCCTTGTGTTGCTCGGTTAGCTAACCTTGACTGGAAGTTAACCATTCTTCGCTGTTGAATAATCAGACATGAGCTGAAGTGGACGATGTCAATCATAGTTTATGAAAACCTGTAAGAAGACACATGTGGCCATGGATCGCAACAGGAGGAGGCTAGCAAGCCAGCTGTGTGCCGCGGTGAACGATGGAGATCCCAGGTTTGGATGGAGATTATTTTTCCCTGGGTTTTGTCCGGACATGTTCTGTGTTGGAAAAGACGCCAAAACCTCTGAAAACTTATGACAACTCTTTGGTTGCGCTTTTGTGAATGTCTCTTTAAATGTATTTAAAGTCCCTAAGATTGAAATATTACACGCCACAGTGGTCTTTAAGAAAAACAGCAAGAAGTGGCACTTCTCACGGTGAAAATGAAAATGAAAATATGTGTCGTAAATATTAATAGTACTATAATGAAAATATGTGTCCGTCGTAAACATTAATAGTACTATGTTTTTATCACTGTAGTCAGGCTGTACGGTATTTATACTGACCACTATGGAACTGTTAGAGCTAATATTTGTTCTTATTTACAGTTGAACGTAATCAATCTTTATTTCTCAGGTCTGTGCAGATGCTTCTCTCAGAGGGTGCAAGTCCTGATCTTGTGGGCAGTAAAGGGGTGGCTGCTATTCACCTGGCGGTCGGTAAAGAAACAGAGAAGAACTTGCGTTGCTTGAAAATGTTATTGCAACGTGGAGCAGATCCCAATATCAGGTAATAAGCAAAGGGATAATTTGCTATTTCTTTTCTGTATTTGAGGTTGTTTGAATTCTATAACAACCTTTACTGTTTGCTCAGAGTTACATTTCTCATATATTTCTCTCAGATCATCTGACGGCCTGACTCCTCTTCATGTTGCTGCTCTGTGGGGATGTTATCAGAATCTCAAGCTGCTCCTGATGAACGGAGGAAACCCAGCTAATATAGATAATGTAAGACTGAAATTAAACTTCTAATATGGTTATGTGAACCCTTATAAAAAAAGTCTTTGTGTATTCCCAATATTTTCACTGAGGCTACCATCTTTATTCTTCTCAGGCTGTTTCAAAATATGGTATTACTGACCAGATCTTTATTTGTCCTCGGTATGGTCACACCTGCTCTTAGACTTGCTGCTTAAAATGGGGACTGTAATGACACATGCTGATACCAGGTGCTAACATGCCCTCAGAGAACGTCTGAGAAATGGCAAGTTGTTACATTTTTTTGGCATCTCATTTTTCTTAACCGTGTCCTGTGTTTTCCCGTGTAGGAGGGGAACACACCACGGCAGCTTGCAGAGCAACAGGAAAACCTGAAATGTGCCCGTCTCCTCGAAGAATACCAGGCCAGCTCACCACACACCAAAGAAGATGACATACCCCAATTTCAATACTGTAAAGAATCACTCATTGATCAGTATTAAATGATGGTCCACTTTAGTTTATAATTTAAAATCATAATAAGTTTTATATTGGTTTGCCAGTCGATTTTAGATCATGGCAGCTATAACATTTTCACACTGATGGAAAACTGATAATATGTACTTGCCTTTTTAAAAAAAGTTTTATTATCCCTTTTATAAGACTGAAAGCCCTTTTACATGTATTCTTGGCCAAATTGGAAGTGGGTGGGAAATAAGTGGTGAATCAAAAGTCGAACGTATTACAATGGATATTGTTAATTATTTAAACATTTCTCCCAATTTCAACATTCTCCACATTAGACAAAGAAAAACTGATCAGCCACCTAACTGCTTGGTTTTGTTTGTAGCTACAGTAACTCCAATACAAAAATTATTTGTTTAACACCATAGAATGAACTGTATTAATTTCTTATCCTTCTTTCTCTCCTGCACAGCTGTGTTAGCAGACCGCACCGACACATCCAGCTATCCCGAGTCTGACTACAGCTTTAGCTCCCAGTCGTCGATGATAAGTGACTTTGGCGAAGCTCCATTGAGCAGCACAAGGCGCTCATCCTTTTTCAATCTCTCTAACGTAAATAAAAGACCAATGTGCAGAGGAGTATCATTCGGTCCCTCCTTCTTATCGAGCACTCGCATGTCTGAAGTGGGACCTGCAGTGTTGGCCCTTAAAGATGACGCTTTTCGTCCTGACGAAGGCCCCTTCTCTACAAACGGCGATGAAACAGACACGATGCCACCCCGCAGTCGAAACACTGTCCCAGCCTTTTCAAGCCGGAAGACCATTACTTTCAGAGACATTGACGAATATTTCCCCGTTTTCAGCCCTGACTCTGACCGGCGCCCTGCTGGTGAAGGCAGCAGCAGCCTCCCTTTTGACGTGTCGGAGTACTCTGATTTCCTCAGTTCGGAGCGCATGGCCACCGTTTTACCCAAGCAGGGCATCGACGTGACATCCCCCGATCACGTTTATGTTTTCTGTAGGGAGAGTAGCGAGAGGCCGGCGGAGGAAATGGAGAAAACCGTCGTCGGTCCATGTGCTTTGGAAGTGAGCGATGACGAACCGGAGGAGCTAAATCCCAGAGGACCTCGGGTGGATGCGTCCGAACGGGGAGCGCATCCCCGTGCCGGCAGTGGCAGCAGTGGGACGAGCAGCAGCCACTACAGTAGCTGTGAGAGCGACCATTACACCAGTGCTCTGGATACGTCCCGAAATCCGGGGTATCCTCTACCCCCTATGGCAGAGGATATGTCTTCTGGGGCTGAATCAGACAAAATAAGTCGGGATTCTACAGACTCTGACGATAGATTCACAAGGCAGGATGAGAATCTTCCTCTTGTTCGGCCAGAACCTGAAGCCCGTTCAAAACCTGAACCAGGAGGGACTTTACCTGATATCGATAAGCTTAGCTTGACAGAAGAGAGACAGCCAAAAGGTCCGGCATCGGAGGGCGGCACAGATGCATGTGAAGGAGATGTCGCCACACCATTGGTTGACTTCAGGTCCGATGCAGTGGAAGAAGACGATGCACTTGTTTTCTCTCCTTTTGTGACAGGCAGAACACGTTCAAGGCTGAGTCGCTGCTCACTGAGAACAAGCAAAACCCCCGACAGCCTCCTCGTGTCTTCCCTGTTTGAGGACACCCTGCCCACGCCGGTGCGAACACTTCGGCAGACGCCCAGATCTCAGAGGAGCGGACTAAGTCACAACTCCCCTCAACCAGCCTGCCGCACGCCGTCTCATTCAAATACAAGCAAAGAGAGAGAGAGCTTCTCTGTGGATAGCCAGAGCATGGAGACCAATTCTACTGTGAGTAGCAGCCAGGCTGATACGTTCATACTTCCCAAGACTGTCGCCGACTCTGCTGACGAGTCGCAGTCTTTGTCCGACACGGTCATTCTAGAAAGAAAACCGGACGATTCGGTGGATGCTTCTGAAAGAAACCTTGCTGAAATCATTCGGGCTATGCGAAAAGACAACATGGGTCTCTCTGACGGTAGGGAGTTCCTAACCGATGACCTGACGAGCGGCGATGAGGCCAGCGCGAAGGGGAACGACAGTGACCCCCCGGTTACAGAGCAGACTGGTAGCCAATCAAGCGACGAGGCTTGGATCACAGAAAACTGCGGCCGTCAGTCAGATTCCACCTCGTCTTCGTCCAAGTCGAGCTGCTTTTCTCCGAGGAGGTCGAGGGAGGACAGCGACTTCCCCGGCGCCCCGGTCAGGGGCTGCCCCCCGAGGTACAGCATGAGCCGGCTGTCCAGCGTCCACAGGCCGCAGCGCCTGGCCGACCTGTCCTACACCCCCGGCGGGCGGCCACACATCCAGGACCCGGACGAGCCGGTGGAGTACCTCTACACCGACACGGAGCAGGGCCACAAACTGATCGAGACCCACGTCCCGCCCACCTCCGACACCTCCCTCAGCTCCAGCATCAGCGAGGAGACCGTCCTGTACGACTGGCGCTCCCTGCAGAGCGAAACCACGGGCAGCGAAGGCAAAGAGAACCAGAGCCCCCGGACGGCGGCGCGGCAGGAGGAGAGCGGCGACTCCACGGACGGCGCGCCGCCAGACATGAGAGGGATGACCGACAAGGAGCTGCGGCGGAGGCTGCTGGAGTTCGGGGAGAGCCCGGGTCCCATCAGCCGCTGCACCAGGCCCACCTACATGCGCAGGCTGCGTCGCCATTTACAGGAAACAGAGCCCCGCTCACAGAGTCCACAGAAGCAGCTGGAACCGCCACAGACAGGTGATTAGCATTCTAACTGATTTGTTCAACATCAGAGAGTATCCGGCATCACGTTAAATTGGCTCTCCAATTGCTTGTCAGCACTGTCAATAACGAAGTATTAATCTTCCTTTTCTGGTCATTTGCCTAATTTAGGTTACAGCCCAGAACTGTCTAGGGTTCTGCAGACCTTAAAGTTGCCCGAATGCCACGCTGACGAGCAGGCTCTGAGCCAGCAGTTCGACCAGCCGGATCAGAACAGGAAGTGGAGGGAAGGCATCATCAAGTCCAGCTTCAACTACCTGCTGCTCGACCCAAGGTCTTGTTGTTTTTCCAGCCTGGTTTATTAGATTTTTCAGGATGTTTTTAAGCTCGTCAAGAACATTTAACTTCTAGCAAAATGCGCTTTTTTTAGACCAATTACAGCTTGAATGTAAACATTTCTTATCACCGCTGAATCCAAGAGGTTTAATTATAGCTCGGCATGTCTCAGTAATTCAAACTCTGCACAAACATGACTATAGCTGAGCGACTCAGCGAGAAATTAGGATCTTAACAAACGAACTGTGATTTAGATCAATACCTTTCATCTTCCTAAAGATAATATAATGCGTTTTGTTTCTTTTTTTTCCTTTATAGAGTGACAAAAAACCTCCCCTTCCGCAGTCACACCATGGCTCCACACGAGTGCTTCCAGACTTTTATTCACGCTATATTCTATGTGGGCAAAGGAAAACGCTCCCGCCCCTACAGTCACCTCTACGAGGCTTTAGAGTACTTTAGAGGAGACAAAACCTCCAAGGTAAGGCAGCAGGATCGGCCTTCAGCTAAAATGCAAAAGGAGTGTAAAACTTAAACTATTTCTTCTTTGTGGCAGAAACTGTGCCAGAAAGTGCAGCACATCCTTCAGGTGTGGGGAGCCGGGCAGGGCGTCATCTCTTTGCACTGTTTCCAGAACGTCATTCCAGTGGAGGCCTACACCAGAGAGGCCTGCATGGTGGAGGCCATGGGTGAGTGTCCCACACTAAAGAATACATGAGATACTGCAGGGGCCTGTTATTCAGTTCACAGGAATAATTTTTTCCAATTAAATGTTTGATATTACTGAGATAAAAAGAAAAAAAAAAAAGCATTCCGACTCAGTGTAGACTCTTAATCGGTGGTCTTACAGACGTTAGCGGTGCGACTGCATGAGTAGTTTCTGTGTTAGAGTTATCATGTCATCTATTGTATTCCAGAAGGTTTTGAAAATCATAGGTGACCTGTTAGAAGTGACTCACGTGCAGCATGTTTAGGTAAAATAATTCCTCTATATAACAATAACCTATTTAAATCCCCTGCTATGTTAGGGCTAAAGATGCTGACCAATAAGAAGCGTGGGGATTTCTATGGCGTGGCGTCCAACTGGGAGCTGAAGAGGAAACGGGACCTTGGTGTCCATCTGTTGTACCGGGCGATGCAGATCTTCTTGGCTGAGGGTGAGAGGCAGCTCAGACCCGCAGACATCAGGCAGTAGAGACTCTCACAGAAGAGGTCCAAAGCCAAAAAAAAAAAAACTTATGGAGCACTTGGGTTTCAGTTTTTCTTGTACATAAGGTGATTTCTTAAACTGCTGTAACATTATGGGATATGTGTTGTCAGGGCTGGGGTGCATAACCCAGTTCAATATTGCTGTCTGTTGTGTTTGTCTGCTTTTTTACATTTATACACAATATATCCAAATCCCGGTGATTTTAAAATGAGCTTTTGAGACATTTATAATGATATCATAATTCTTAAAACACAATGTTATGATTAATATCCCCCAGCCTAATGGACATGAACATTTCATTCTAATTGACTTGTTGCGTTCATCGAGGTTGCTTTCTATTTCTACATACCTGTGGATTCCTCTTGAGAACATCTCTGTATATTCTCAATATATTCATCATGTGCTCATTCTCCCAATACCAATCCAAAGACGATTTTATTGAATAATTCAAATTAGTCAGCTACGTAGATAAGGTATGGTTTTTTTTTTTTTTTACTGCCTTTTTTCCATTTCATTCTATTAAACAAGTTTGATATGCAAAAATCTTGGATGAAAACACTACTGAATATTTGAAAAATAGCAGGTATTATTTGCACTCTTTTTAAAAAGTATTGTCTTTTAAAAATTCAAAGAAAAGTCTTCTTAAGAGCCTGAGTGTACAGAGGTCGGATTGAGTGGTTTTAGCAGACTCAGTGTTTTCTGAGATGCGATATAACTTGTTTATAACATGACTCAATCTCCATTGAATTCCTTGTTTTCTTGCTTACCCATAATTAGCACCAGTAGCATGATAGTGACTGTTGTATATATTTTGTGTCTGAAAGTGTCAGCGTGGTTAGTAGTAGAAGCAAAATATTTTTTTATTTGCTCTTAGCAGATGATAAAAATTGTAATTGTAGCTCCAGTTGTGAATTTTATTTTGTATACATGTTGTGTTGTTCAGGTAGGTGCCTCTGTGGTTATAGCTGTTATGTGGGGTCAGCATTTCCATCATCTCGTTTACGGCACAACATATGGATGACTCGACCAGTGAGCTATCAAAGCCTCATTATTGCCTCAGGGTATTTATACTTAATTATTTTCTTGAAGTAGGATGTTAAAAACAAAACAAAAAAAGCATTATTGCTAACAAAAACAGGCATGTTTTTATACCATCCAGCAGCATTAAAGCATTACATTTCTCTTTTGATGACATGCATTAAAAATAATTACCTAGGTTGATTCATCACAAAAAAGACAATTTTGTAGAGTTTGAATAATGTGTAAAAGGTGAATGACCACTCTCTAATTTGACAGGTTTTATATTTTGAAAATAAAGATCCTTCAAATGTGACCTGTGTGATTTGAGTTTTCTTTTTTTGATTCATTGTGCTCATAAAGTGTTATTTTCCTTCATGATTAAAAGAAGTGCAGCCACAATTTTACTATCTTATTCTTATCACTTTTTTATAGTTTATGTAAACATATGAAACTACTCACTTAATTCAGTGTTTTTGTATGTCCCTCTAGTGGACAAAATATGTCATAGATTTTCTTCCGTACAGCCATCTCCACAGAGTGAATTGTCTTAACAGTTTATACTGCTTAGGTGAAATAAGTATTGTTATTAGAGTGGACATTTGTTTCTTTTTGACAACCCAAAATTTAATTTGTCAAAACTGACACTTTCAAATACAAATACCAACATGGGTGTCAGTGTCCTTATTCTCTAAAATAGAAGTTGATAATGGTGAACACCTACTTTGTCAGACTGAATTTCAAGAGGCGCACAACTAATTTTGGACTGTTTTTTTGTCCGTTAGAGACACCCGTTAGGTTTCTTCCTTGTGGTTAGGCGATGGTTTCGTACAAGCGCTCAGTTTTAACCATAGCTCCACGTCAATGTACTGCAACCCAACTTACAAAAAATTTAATGCAAGACAGCCTCAGATCTCTTCTGAGGAGAATGGTACAGAAGGTACAAAAGTTTTTTTCTGTTTTTATTTGTGAATTAATTGTGACAGCTGTCAAGCATTTGAGCTTTTTTCCAAATTTATCTTAGAAAGCTTCTGTAAATATGTTCTACCAATTACTGCATAATTTCTAAAAGCTACTTTGTCATAAAAAAGGACATAAAGAAGCAAAAAGAAAACTACTCCCACTACATGGTTTAAATTGTTTATTAGTACTGTAAATGGTAAATATTCATAGTCGATATCATAAATATGTGTAGAAATGAATGTACTGTTTTAATCAAAAACAGAAACCCAAAAAGGGAAGCTATTTAAAAAGCAGACTGACTGAATGTTTTAAATGTGCATCGCAGCTGTGGTGTGGCCCTTTGATCCGTAGCTTTAATATATTACAGATAGCTTCCAGTTTTGTGAATGTTTAAAAGAAAAGCCTTTGAGTGGGTTTCATCCAACCTCATCAATTTCACATGCCCTCCAAGCAAACTAAGGAGGAACATGAAAGACCCACAGCATCACCGAGGGCTGAATGTGTGATCAATTTATTTAATTAAAATGAATGAAGGACAGAACATGCAGTGTTGTAACAACCAGGAACACAGCAAAATGAAACAGAATGACAAATTCCTTAATGGGTGGTAAAATAAACAAGCAAAAAACAAGAATTTGGTTTTCAAATAATTGTTTTTATTTTTTTAAAGTTGCAGTTCATCAGACTCATTGTTTAATATACCTATAGTGCGTAAAAATAAATCATATTCTGCTATACCTTGAATCTGCGGTTTTCCTGGTTCCTCGGTTCTTATAGCCAAAATAAAATAAATAATGCCTTCACCAATATTCCTGGTGACGGTGGGATGAAATCTGGGACACAGTTGCATTCATCGTTCAGTGAGCTCTTCCACACAGTTAAACCCACCGACAGCAATGAATGTTGATTGTGACCTTTGCTGTTATTTGCTGGAAATTCTTTGGTTTTCCTTTTGGAGAAGGAACGTGGCGTTCGGTGTGGGACCTTTCAGGGGAATCGTTGGTCATGCCTTGTGTGCAGGTATCCGCAGGAGCTGGACTTTGTTTTTTTTTCTTTTTCAATATTTTAGATACTGAGTGACAAAGGCTCGCCACAGGGTACAGTCAACGGTCGATGGTTTTTTCAATTTAGCTGAAACTCACCGACAGCGTTGAATGTTCACTGGGGCAAGAACAGACCTGATGGTGACCAGGGATGACAGTCTGCTTAGAGATGAATAGGGGGTCTGTCTCCTCTTTGGGCAAAGAAGCTACTAACATTCACCCTCGATCTCTTACATTTTCAGAAAGCACATAGCAAAATTCACTTTTTCCAATTTGATGTTACCAGACACAAAATGTAAAGATTTAATACAAACACACACTTGTATTTTAGTTACATAAATCCCAAACATTTAGAGAAATCATAAAAAAGCTCTTTCTCAGTGAAGGGATGGATAATTTCTGGAGGTTCTACGACTACAATTCAAATTGCCAATTTATTTTTCAGAAAAAGCATAAAATACAACCTAAACATTCCAAAACTAAAACACATCATACATGTATTTATTTTTTAAACTATCAACCTTGACTTCATTGGGAAAATGCCAAAAAAGACTCACCTTTGACTCATCTTAGCAACTCCATTCACTGTTGTGAGCGCAACCTACTTAAAGAACACTTGGTCATTATTACAGCCCTTTCCAGCGCATGGGAACACATCTTGTTTGCTGTAAGTAGCAGTTAGACAAAAGGAGTCATCTTGAAACTCCTGACTCATAGGAGTTTTTTTTCGTAAACACAGCACCTGGGCGACGGCAGCCAGTTGCTGTGCGCTGTACTTAAGCACAGCTGCTCGGCCTCTGGAGACACCAGCATGCCTCGATGGCTTCATGCACGGTGGACGATGAGGAAGGCAGCGAGTATGAAACTGTCGACTCACTCCGATCAACATCGTTTTTTTGTTTCATTATGAGGTGGCGCTGTGGCTAAAGACTGGTATGTGTGTGTGTGTGTGTGTGTGTGTGTTCTCCAAGTGGTAAGGAGTGCTGAATCATTGCTCATCTTAAGCCACAAAAAAAGAGAAAAAAACAAAAAAAAACAAAGCGCAGTTTGCGAGAAATGGAATACCACAGAGCGACTCTAGCAATTAGATATGACGCGGTGGCAACTGTGGCGACTAGTCAAGATGTGGTCAGGTGATAAACACCATGTTGGGACAATTCAAGAGAAGGATAAGGCGTGACTAAGATGATGCACATCTGCCCCTGCATAATAGCCCCTTTACACGTAAAACTTTGGTTTGGAATAAGTGTGTGACTTAGTTTACTACAAAGTAGTAAAACAGTGAGCAATAGCAAGTGAAGATGAGTAAGGTGCCCCTCCTTTAAACAAGAGCTGTCTTTCGTGTGTCATGCTACTTAGATTTGTTTCTTAAGAAGAAGTTTTCAGTTCAAAGTAAAAAACAAACTAAGTCTAGCACAGCTCAAAATACTTTAGTCCCAATCCCAATTTCTTAGCGGATGACGCGTCGCCAAAGCCTGGACCAAAAGCACAGTCCTTGCTGCGAGGGACGCCGCTTATTTAGTCTTTCCTCACAGTCCTCAAAAGTGATTTGAGTGACACTGGTGGAACTGACAGAAGTGGATGAGAAGGAATGTAGCTTTATAAGGTCTTCTCTGGCCGCGGGACGGGGGTGACAGGGGGAAGAAAGAACCGGGACACGCAACTGAGAAGAGAAGAGCCCTGAGCTGACAATGTGGCCTTAATCTGAATGACAAGGTCTGCACATCAGCCCTCAAACCAGCCTGGGCCGAGAGAGTGGGGGTGGTGGATGATGTGGAAGCTGAGAGCAGAGCGAGAGGAATAAGAAGAGACAGAGGAAGGAGGAGGTGAGGGTGTCCTCCCTTCAAACATGCTGGCCTAAATGGCATGGACAGCTCTGACATTTAACCACTGAATCATTTTTACATAAGTGGATGCGAGGGGGTGGGGGTGGGGTGGGGGACAGGCTAAATATAAGGAGCT